TTTAATGTTTAAAATTTGATTTTCATGGTCGTAGAATCTATTGGCGGAATTTGATTTCACCCTTTGTCTAAGGAGAATAAAATTAACTTTTGGGATTTTGCACATGATAGATTTTCACAATGTAAAGATCCGTATTTAGTCAAAAAACTTGAATTTCAGAGAAGAACCTTTATGCTGTTCAATTGAGATTCTCTCCCTAGTTGAAGTGCTTTCTAAAAAGTGCGTTTTATTTACCGTACTCTCGATTTTAACTAATATACCGTATTCTTGAGGTCTAAGCCAGTCAAATCCCTGTCGCTCTTCCTATTGGCGGAATTTATGATTGTTTTAGAATTTGTTTTATTTTAATAAAATTTAGAAAAAAGGCATAACCTCTGGCAATTACGAAAATCCAAAGCAAAAAGTCTTGATACCTTTTCTCTTTTTTCTTTTTTTTATTACCTTTAAAGCTTTGCTGATTTTTATGATATTGTTTCTTTTTAGAGATGCCGTACAAGCAATACGACAGTCCCACAAAGGAGGGAATTGGTGGAGCTCGAAAAGCCGGACTCAAAGTCAGTGTGATTGAAGAGCTCTTCTTTGTTTTGAAGATGACAATATGGAGGCTCTGCGAACGGATGAAAGAGCGTGGAAACTGCATCGATTAAAGAAAAAGGCCGACAACCAAAAAGAATGTCTCGAGAACTTCGACTTCGACTTCTGGTACTTCCGACATTTCCTCACCTCAGAAAAGCTACTTAAAAAGGGAATTTGGGATTGATTTAATTTCGCAAACGATTCCGAAATCGATAGAAATTTCTCGAGGTTGTCTTCACGACTGACTTGCTCGAAAAACTTTGATGCTTCTTGGACACGAGGAGGCTTCGTTTGGAATTCGCTGGCACCGCCTACCAATACTGTCGATCGATCATTGGAAACGTGCCTCGCGGAGTGGTGAAACTAAGTTCAATTTGTTCAACAGCAATGTAACTACATCATAGAGACCCACTGAGACAGGATACAACTTGGAGCACATTCGACAAGACTGTCAAATTCAGTGGACACAGAAGGCTTTAGTTGACCGCTGAAGTGTCTTTAGATGGAATCATCATAGACAGTGTGATAATAAAGGGATCTGTTACTAGGTGAGTATGCTTCCTTACGCAAATGTAGCAATAAGTCCAAACTGGCTGGCCTGCCAGCAGGATGGGGATCCAAAACATACAAGTGAATTGATGTTTGGAAAAAATTGAAGATCCTATCCACGAATTTTCGTGAGATTGCCACAACTGATTAATACCTCAACAACGTCATTTTGCTGCGAACACGACACTATTTGCCGGATTTTAACCAAGCGAACATTTTTGAGCTCGTGTCAAAGCCAAAAATTGCGATAATTCCGCTTTACGTCAAAAAAAGGAACCCAAAACAAGGAACAGGCAAGTTTGAGTTCCATTTCACAACGAACCGCAGAAACATTGATCGCAAGAGTATGCGAAACCGACTTCAAAAGAATTTCAAGAGATTGAAAAAGCTAAAGAAGGCTCAACACGATACTGAATTTTGTTAAGAAAAAATCAGCTTTTGAAAAGAAATCAAGAAAAGATTCAAAGACTTTTTACGTTTATAAATAGTCGATCGAACTTGTAAAGATGTAAGGAGTCGACCTTGTGTTAATTGCGAGTTTCTCACTTGTTTTATTTAATGGAAACAAAAACAGGGGCTGAATCCAAATATTTTTGGATACTCAATTTGCTAAGTTTTTTCGAAAAGTATCGACTTTTTTAAGCCACTGACATATGCCCAAGTACAGTCGAGGAACCTCTCTATAACGAACCTCGATATAACGTAAACCTCTCTATAACGTAAAGAGCGTGACCGGTCCCCCGGCCGACGTTAAGCTACATCAAACGGCACCCTATATAACGTAAACCTCTATATAACGTAAGCTATAGCCGTCCCGTGAGTTACGTTACGTGAGGTTCGACTGTATTCTCAACTAAAAGCCAGAGGCCTAGTCCTTAAGTTTATTTAGTTTTCTAGTTCAAATCATAAGCAAAATGAAATTTTACCGTACTCCAAGTGATTCCGCGCTAAGAATATTTTAAATAGAATAGTTTCTCTTTCAAACTTTGCGTACTATCATCTTATATCGTTTTAAACTTAGGTCATTTTTTTCTCGTAATATTGCTCAAGAGGCTCCTAATTATTTGAAATCCTCATTTTTGTCGCCCAAAATTTCTCAATATTCCATTTCAACCGGAAAAGAGATGAGAGAAAAAAAATTGTTCGAACAAATAGAAAATTGAGAAATAAAGATGGAAAAAAAATACACATGAACATCATTGGGTGCATCATGATTGGCTAAAAGACTCAACACAAGCGATTAGGGAACCCAATTGATTGAATTCAATCCAGACAATCCAATCCAGCCCAACCCAATCCAATCCTATTCCAATTCATTAGAAAAAAATGTCCTTGTCAGTTATATCCACCCACAAAAATGCCTTAATTTGTGATTTAGATATGAATTGATTTATGAATAAAACTCTTTTGGACCGACTATGACTGAAGAAAAGATATGTGAAAGCTTGATTGGTTGCTAGACTTTTCTAGAGTAAGTCGAGCAACTGGAAGCTTCCGGAAGCCTACTGTAGGACAGTTTAAATGATGATTTTTAGAATATATGTTTGGGAGCAATGTTAAAAAACTAAGCTCGTTTGTTTGGAATTGGAATAGGAATAAGATTGAATTCCTATTCCTATTCCAATTCCAATTCATTAGAAAAAAAAGGTCCTTGTCGGTTATATTCACCCACAAAATGCTTTAATTTGTAGGCATTTTCTTCTTTCGTTTCTTCGTTCGCTTCCTCTTTTGTTTCTTCGATCAATTGTAATCTAAATCTTTTCTGTAGATTGTATATTGTACATATTCTCTGCACTTATTGCACTGAGAAATTCTATAAGCTTTTCAGAAAATGTAGTTTATGTGAGGATCAAATTTTAGAGAGGGAACTAACAGGTATACCAAGATCTTTTACAGGATCATCGGCCAATCCTTGTGGTAATTGTAGGTGCCGCAAATTTAAAGGGATATGTACGAAAGGGATATGTACGAAAGGGATATGTACGAAAGGGATATGTCTAATGGACGAAATGTAACGTGTTTGCATTTGTCCGGCACCCAATACTAAGGTACCAGAATTTTTGTTTTATTTTTTTAGAAACTATGTGAAATTTAGAAGATTCTTTCTTAGGGATCAGCTCAATTTTGGGGTGGTTTAAAGGGTGAAATTTTCGTTCGCCGGCTGTGAGTCGATTTTGAGAGTAATTTGCATTGAAAAGGAGCCGAGTTTGACTCTCGCAGCGGACTTTAAAGCATAAAATTTATCATTTATCGAAAAATACATAGACATAACATGATTTTTTAAAATTTTGTTGCAAATCTGCTTGAAATTTGCCTCAAATAATCCAGGAAAATCAAAGAATTTCCGAAATTTCCTTCCTTTTCGCTTTTCTTTGACGGAAAATTTTTAACCCACCGCTTGCAAATGTTTTATTTCAATAAAACTCACCTTTGAAAGCATATTTGTAAAAAAAAAAACTGGTATTCAGATAATGTGTAATCAATAGCCTAATAATATGTTGAAAAACACGTGTTTCAGGGCATAAAATGGCACATATTAGGTTGATGCAAAAGTCTTTTTCATTTTTTTCGTACTTCTGTTAAAAAGTAACAAATTCACGAATTAATCTATAGTTTGCTCTATAAAAAAAGTGTTTGCAGAGTTCAAAATTTCCCATCTTTTTTAAATGAATTTCGGTTGACTTTCAAGCAAATTCGAGAGTGAAAAACGCCTTTTTCGTAAAAATCTATAAAAAACTCTACGGAAAAATTGGCTGAATGAATTTCTCTGAAATTTTGGCGAAATATCAAACGTTTTTTTTCTCTATCTTTTATCTATTGACACGAAGATAGGTTTTCTTTAGCTAAGGTGTCTAAACCGCATCATCGAGTTAGCCCTTTTTGACTACCCGACTTCATACTCTCAAGAAAATCCAGGCATTAAATATTTTTAAACCCGTTTTAATGTTATTTTGTAGAAAAATAATTGGTTTTTCTAATGAAATCAACCGTAGTTTAATTCGTGCATTTGTTGGCTTGAAACGGCAAACGAAAAAAATGAAAAAGACTTTTGCATCAACCTAATAGTATAGAGGAAGGAACAAATAAACACCGATTTCACAAGTCACATCATTTTTTGTTTTGGCAATCGAGTAACTGCAAAAGAGAAAAGAAAAGAGAAAAGAAGAATTTTCAGTCTATAATGAGAAATTTGTGAGCATTGCAGTTTACTATGTTGTAAACAAAAAAATAATACAACGTATTGAAAGTTATGTGCTTTAGATGCTTAGACAGACAATGCTTTGAGTATTTGCAAAATGTTGAACAATAATATGTTGAAAAACACGTGTTTCAGGGCATAAAAAGATACATAGTATAGAGGAGAGAACAAAATAACACCGATTTCACAAGTCACATCATTTTTTTCAACATATTTGAATTTGCTGATCAACTAAAGCTTAAAATTTGAATATAAGTTTAGCACAGGTTTTGATAACAGTCGAATCTCGTAAGTAAACTAGGAAAGAATCAGGGAAAAAAAAATAACCAAATTACTATTTCGGATCCTGATCCTAATTCACTAAAGAGGTTTAAGCTGAAAAACTAAAAGAGTGTTTTTGAAAACATATCTACTAAGGTTCGACTGTATTTTGGAAGCAAACATATGCAACGTACAATATAATCAGCACTACACTATGCCAAAAAATACTGTAAACCGTAAATACTGTAATGTAACAATAGTGTAATCCGTTTTCAAAAAAGATTGCTGATTTGAGGAAACTATTGGAACCTTCTCTCCAGATTTTTGAAGATTGCCCACCTTTTCGAAAACGTATTACTCGCAATGAAATGAACTTTGAAATGAATTGAGGTGAGGGGGAGGTAGTGAATCATCAAAAATGTCGTTCATTTCGATTTTCTCCCACGGAATCTCGTATTCGAGAGGTCGAGAGCGTCGAATTTCCCGGATTGTTCCATTTTTGCGGTAAATCTAAAAATGAAATCAAGATCAAGCTTTGAAAATTTCATTTTCACATATTCATGACGAGGTTTTTTTGATTATTTTCCTTCCAGCTCGTCTAAAAATGTTCACAGGCAATCGATTTACTTAAGTTAGAAGTGAAAATGAAGAGAAATGTTTGAGGATCATTTATCTCGAAATTGTTTGAAAAAATATTGGCTTTGAAGAAAGTTATGAACCTTTGAATGCAAATTAATTCCCGGATCACCAGGATTTATCATGCTAAAACATTCTGAGCTTTCTTTAAACTCAAGATTTCTTTAATCTGTTTTTAGATGAATGATCCGTGAACATTCTCTTTATTTTGACCTCTAACTTGAGTAAATTCGTTGCCTGTGAACGTTTTTCGACGAGCGGGAAGGGAAATAACTTACGCAAGATCAAAAAACCTCATCTTGAATGTGCTAAAGTAGCTTTTGTATCCCCAGTCGACTTTCACGCACCTCTTGTTGCCCTATTGCCCAGAGATTCCCGTCTCGATCGACCGTAATCCGACGAAGCGGGATCTCGTTCCGGATTCGGTAAAGTAAATACCCGGACTTTTCTGGAAAACTCAATTTCAACTTGCTTTTGATTTCGAATTTTCTACCAGCCAAACACCAAGCATCCTCCCGTCATTTCTCAGCATCCACAACACTCGCGAACAGGCGGTGATTTCGATGATCTCTGAGAGAGTCACTTCCTCGACGATCACCTCACGCCAATCTAGGAATTGTATTTGAAAAGTTGTTCGGCTCGGTGCTTCATAAGAGTAAAATGAAAGTATCGAAATCGTATGTGATATAGTATGTGATATAATATAGATTTTAAAGATCACCAAGAGGCTCACCAATTTTGTAGATATCGACCGCATTCGCGCATTCTCTCACCAATAAACGATTGCATTTCGTGAGCGCCCACACACGATTTCCACTCGAAATGCAAAGGAGACGAATTGGCCATTCCGAGGATACCTATAAAGTTATTTATCTATTAGCTTGGTAAATATGAAAGGTTATTTTTTACAAAAAATATTGCCCTCTCGTTACGAAGAACATTCGCTGTCTAGGATTTTTCTCAATAATATGTCAAAAATATTGTCCTGTTTTTTTGTGCAAAAACTTTTTAGTTTTGAACAATATTTGTATTGTTTCAGCTCGGCAAAGATGGATAACCAAAAATTTAAAATCAGGGCCGCCATTTTCTTTGAATTCAAGTTAAACAAGAAAGCTACGGAATGCCATCAGAACATTTGTACTGTTTTTGGAGAAGCTGCTCTTACTTACAAACAATGTTGTGTTTGGTACGATCGCTTCAAAACGGGAAACGAGTCATTGGAAGATGCACCACATGGAAAGCCGCCGATTACTTTGGACGATCAGCTGTTACTGAACCAGGTCGACTTGGATCCATCATAAAGAAGTGTAGAAAATTAGCAGAAAAGTCCGGATGCACTCATGTTACCATTTACCAGTTCTTGGGAAATAATATCGAAGCGGGAAATGGCTCTACAATACCTCACTGATGCCCACAAAGTCACACGAGTCACCTTGAGCACTGTTCTTCTACGTAAAGACTAGCCATCGTGACTTTTAGGAGTATTTTTGACACCTGATGAGCCTTGGCTTTCGTATGAAAATATTCAACTCTATGGAGTGTGGCTGAGTTCGAAGCAGACCTCTCATCCTATCCCGAAGCCTCCGAAAAAGTTATGCTTTGTGTGTGGTGGAATGCTAAGGGATTGGCTCATTTTGAAATATTAGATAAAGGAGACGTTGTTGACGGAAGACTTTATGCAGAACAAATGGGTCGAGTCAATCCAGCATTGAGGGAAAAGAGGATCAGTCCATCAGAAGGTCAGATTTCTTCACACGACAATGCTAGGCCTCACATTTCAAAGATCGTCCACGAACAAATCGTTGAGTTGAGCTGGAAACTTCTTCCACACCCACCATACAGCCCTGATCTAGCCCCATCGGATTACCATCTCTTTCGGTCAATGAAACAAGCAGTTTCTGGACAGCAGTTCAAACAAAAGCAGGACATCGAAAATTGGGTTGCCAACTATTTTGCCTCTAAAAATCTTCAATTTTACGAGGACGGTATTCGTGATTTGGGGCAACGTTGGAAAGAAGTTATTAATGCTTGTGGTGAATACATTTGATTTTGAAAGTGCTTAAATAAATTTTTCTGTTATGTTAAAAATGATCAAAAAAATAACCTTTCATATTTACCAAGCTAATATAACTTTATGTTAAATTTTGATTATAAACATGTTTCTGCTAAATCTATCCTCCAAAAACTCACATGAAACCAATCTTGTCCTTGTGGGCCAGCTCGACAGCATCCCAAACGCACCAAAACATCACCCGACTTCGTGATCACCCATGTTAAAATCTAGATCAGAATATTTACAAAAAAAAAACTAACCAACCATATCATTATTTCTTGATACATGAACACTTTCTGCGGGAGGACAATCAACCCGTATCCATGGACCCGATGTCTCGAATACTCGTTCGCGTTGCCAAACCCGTCGACGTGCACTTGCCTAGATTGAGTAACCTTTTAAAAAAATTTGTTTTATCTTTGAATTGTAGCAAATTCAAAGCCAAAATGCTTAGCACATAACAATCTATAGATATAATAAGTTTATCTAAAAGTTCCGAGTTTATCTAAAAATTTAGTCACCTTTTTCTCAGCCACTCCCCATTCTCCATCCAATCTCACTCCAAATTCCCAATCGGATTTGAGTTTCCACTCCAAGTCCGACCACGTCCACCCTCTTGGCAATCTATTGGGTTGTGCAGTTATAAATGCGCGTTTTTACGATTTTGTAAATTTCTCAAGGTCTCGAACAGATGTACATGAGTGTTATATATCATTCGAAAGCTGAAGATCTTCTCTACATTTTGGAATAAAAAAGTTTTTGAATTCATTCAACTTTTTGGGAAATTGACTGCACAAAGGGAGAAGTCGTTTTCAAAAAAAAACCCATTTCAGCTTAGCTATTCCTCAAGTTTTATGGTGTAAAATAACCGCCCAGAAAAGAAAAAAAAAGTAAAGATGATCTGAAATTGTTATATTTTAAAAAAGTTGTATTGATATATCTATTGACCAAACATCAAACGGTTAACTCAATTTGAGCGGAGCCAAAACTTGATCGAAAGGCACCCTTCCATTTTTTGGCCACCTCTTCTTCTGGGCAGTCAATTTGCCCAAAAGCTGAACAAATTCAAAAACTTTTTATATCAAAGTGTAGAGGAGATCTTCAGCTTTCGAATAATACTCATATATATCTTTTTCTTGATTTCGGTATGTTGAGAAATTTACAAAATAGTAAGAAAACGCGCATTCATAACTGGACAACCCAATAAAAACAACTCTTAACATTAGCTTAATCAACATTAACCTCATCGTTTTATCCTTTTGTTTCCCAAATAAATCACACCATGCATACACATTCCCACTACAGCCATCGAATGGTAAAAAGCCGCGAAAAAACGCGTACTTTTGATGCTCAACCTAAATTCGAATTTACACATTAAGATTTAGCATAAACAACTCAGTGTCTCAATTTGTGCATCATATTGTTTATATGTGTATTCCACTTCTTCATCCAATGGATCATAACGAGACTCGAGAGCGTAAACATGGCCGGCCTGTGAAAGAAAAAACATTTGCTTACAATGAAAGGTTTAAAGTTTACTTAAAAAAATAGAGATAATAGAGAAACTTAAAAGAGTCTGGCTAGAGATGATAATGAAAAATTTGATTTAACTGCTTAAATATTGTTTTCAAAGAAATCTCACCGACGTGATCGCCCACACAACCCGTTCACTGCCTGCAGAAATATCAATGAAATGTCCGGGAACGAGAAGAGTTGGAGCCGAGTCAAGGGAAACGGGTATTTGCTAAAAATGTTTGATAAATTGCTAATGATATTGTTTACCGTATTATTCTTATCGGCTCGCATTTGACTGATCACATGACAGCGAGGCGTTCCATCGTCGAGAATGGAAAAAGCCCATTGAGAGCGACGATCTCGTGGAAGAAGGACGGCACAGCGACGGATTTCCTAGGAGAATTTGGATTTTATCTATGAATATATCATTGGATATATCGTTGGATATCATTATATCGTTATTTAAATAGACTAACAACAACCTTAGGGGTCTTAAGTTAGCAAAAAACGTTCAAAAACTGTTTTCTTTCTTTTCAAATTCTTTTTTGAAACTTACTTGACTAATTTTGCATTTAGCAACTGTATTGACTAAAGCGTTTTCGAAAAAGTGCCATTTTTCGAAAGCTATCGTAATCTTGCTTTGGTTTTATTCAATTTAGCTACTTTTTTTGTGATAAAAGATCGAAAGAAGGAAAAAGTAGACAAATCGAATCCAACTAGAGATAAGATTACGATAGTTTACAAAAAAATCTTACAAAACATCTTATAAAATATCTTACAAAACATTAAACACACATTTTAGAGCACAAATATTCTTTCGCCAACCTTTTCCAATTCATGTATCCATTGAACTCTTTCATCGTCTGTTGAGAAACCGATTCGAATCAACGAACTGGACGACAGTGGTCTCATCGATACGCAAATTGCGGGTTTTGAAGAAGAAATTGGATAAATTGCGCACAACTAAAGGAAATCATTTTTATATTCAAAAAATTTCAATCCTCACATCTTCCAACGGTCTCCGATAAACGGTTCCTCTTTTTAGTGTGACATGGATCTCCGTGTCACTCAATTGAAAAACCCCTTCCGACCAATTGAGAAGACCTAAAAGAACTACCGTAAATACTGTAATAGTCGCCAATCCCCTCGTACAGTCGCGTAGTCGCAAAAGTTTTTTAGTATTTCAGTTGATAGGTTGATATTTTTTCAAAGCGCCTGTACTTTCAAAAAATGCGTCTTTGATATCAAAAAATAGCTGAAATTCAGGGCTATTTTTTGAGACCTAAGCGTGCATTGTAGCATAAACCAGTGTCGAGAAACACTCGTTCAAAGCTAGACTACGCAACACTCCGCACCGTCATGATGGGGATAGGGTACTATTACAGGAATGACGGTAGGTAAAATACTCAAATTCTTTTCACCTGTATTTGCAATAATTGCAGCCACTCTTGTCTCTAGTCTCCATTTTTGATCATCCGTTCTCGCGAAATTCTCTATCTCTGGTCCATCGATTGATTCTTGGAAAACACCCCAACAACGGTCATTCATCTCGCGGAGTTCGGAAATAATCTGGACAAATTGTTGGGTAAATTAGTGGAAAATGATTTTAGCTTGAAATGGGTTAAAAGATTGCATCATAATGGATCCTCTCATTATGATGCTTTCTATATTCTAGCGTAATCTAGTGCTTTATGGTACCATAAAGCTGCTTCATTCTATCGTAACCTAATACTTTTCTGGTTACGGTAGCTTTGATCTATTTACTTACCTTAACCCTCCATTGTGCATCACGAATCTGCGAGAGATCGAGAGTGGACGGGGCAAAATTCTCGTCAATCCACGCTTTCGGGATGCGTCGATGAGTGAAGCTCACCGTTGAGGCGTCCACCTGAAAAAAAAAGCCATAACAAAACATGAAGTCACTATTGTTTCTGATCACTTGTAACATTCGATTTTCTCCATTTCGATGCACCATCGGCGTCCAAATTTTCCCATATGGTTCCTCGGGGCAAACGCCCGTTCTCACATGTAGCACTTCCGTGCCATTTGCGATTGCGAACACCTGTAATGTTAATTTAGTTTTTAATTTTAACAATCTTCATCTTTAACAATCTTCATCAGTTCATATTGTACGATTTGAATTTACCTGATCATTCCGCGAACAACTCATCCGGCACATCGCTTCACCGGCTTCTCGGAAATTCGTTTGCGTCAAATGAATGCCTTTGTGATCGACGCTCACATTTGAAGTGAAGATCTAATAGTTTTATTTTTGAGTCTAATATTGATAAAACCTTTGCTTCAACAGAAACAATCCAAAGTGATGTGTAGCCAAGAGCAAAGCCAGTGATCGGTTGAGAACCGGGTAGATTGATCTGGAAAGGAAAGAAATAAAGGTGAATTGATCTGGAAAGGAAAGAAATAAAGGTGAACTACTTCTAGGGATCTTGAATCTTAGTTGAACAGTTGATCAGGCTAAAAAGTCATTATATAAGTATTGCAACGGGAAATCGGTTTTACTATTAGAACCAGCTCTGACTCTGGATAAGTTCTGGTAGCTCGGTTTAAGCATTTGAAAGGTTGTTATTTGAAAAATAAAAAATTCACCAATTTCACCTATGGTTTTCTCTAAATAAAAAGTGTTTATTGTTCAATTTCCCATCTTTTTAAGTGAATTTCGCTTCACTTACAAGCAAATTCAAAAGTTAAAACACGTGTTTCTCGTAAAAATCTATAAAAACCACTACGAAGAAATTGGCTGAACGAATTTCTCTGAAATTTTAGGTATATACCTAAATTTTTATGCTCTATCTTTTATCTATTGACACCAAGATAGGTTTCCTTAGCTAAAGTGTGTCTAAACCGAATGGGGCCAAATGGTTAGTAAAGAATGAGTAAGAAGGGGAAAAGTTTCGTTTTCAAAAGCAAAAACCCCCAAAGAGCCGCAAAAACGAGGCCACCTATTTCATAATGAAATACAAACATCAGCCCGTTTACCTAGTCACAATTGGAGCAAACTAACTGACTTTAGGCTCCCGAAAAAATCCAGACATAAACATTTTAAATTTTAAATTTTAAACCCGTTTTAATGTTATTTTATAGAAAAATAATTGGCCTTTCTAGCGAAAAAAAAAACCGTAATTCAATTGATGTATTTGTTGATTTTAAACGTAAGTACAAAAAGTAACGAAAAGATTTTCTGGACAATCTAATAGATACCGCAAATACTGTAATAGTAACCCATCCCCATAATGACGGTGCGGAGTGTTGCGTAGTCTAGCTTTGAACGAGTTTTTCTCGACACTGGTTTATGCTACAATGCGCGCTTAGGTATCAAAAAATAGCCCTGAATTTCAGCTATTTTTTGATAACAAAGACGCATTTTTTGAAAATACGGGTGCTTTGAAAAAAATGAAATACTAAAAAACTTTTGCGACTACGCGACTGTACGAGGGGGTGGGCGACTATTACAGTATTTACGGTAAATGTTTTCTAAACCCCTTACCGGCATCCATCCCCTTCCATGGGGTCTTTCGGGTGTCATTCCCCATCTCGCATACAATCTTCCATCCCATGTCAACACCAAGAGACAACGATGCGCTGCCGAGGTGCCTAATGCTGAGATATCCTCGAAACCTCCGTCTGGAAAATTTCTCAATTTTGCATACGTTTTTTTCTTTTCCTTTCATTTACCATTCGATGAAATCCCCTCGATTTGACCCCATTTTGATCCCTCCGGATTATTCCTACAGACACCCTCTCGTCGATAAATTCTCCCAAATTCCGATAAAGCAAACAAATCAAATGCTCCCTGAAATTGGTTTTTCTTATACCTTTCCACCATTTTATCAACTCACCTCACTTCCCGATGCGAAATTCCCGGCGCAAAGGTCGAGAAATTTGTGCTCTGAATTTGTCATCGCCATCTAAAATTAAGCTTTGTTGCTTACAGTTATTTTTCAAAAAGGCGTCCTAAGTTAGGGTATATGGTTTTCATCATGATCACTCAATGATCTTGGTGGTAAGGATCATCATCGGACAGTGAGCGGACTCGAACCCTCGACTCTCCGATTGGGAGGTAAACGAGCTAGCCACTACACCAAAGTGCGACTGGTTGGAGGTGGGAGAAAAAGCGACCAAAAGAGGGCTAACTGTTATGCATTTTGTAATGTGTTTTTCGATTAGATATTATTAGTTATGGTAAAAATTATTAGATCTATTTTTTAAAGAAAATATAAAGAAAATAAAAAGAGAATATATTTATGCTACAGCATTGATCAATTTTTGATAAGTTGAATTTTTAGGACAAAAATATCTGATGGATTATATGTTTTATATGTAAAATCACTTGTATCCAGTGTTCGATGGCCACAAATCTCATTGTTCTTTTGAAAAGTCGTCTCCGAACAAAAGAAGTTGACTTTTGAGAAGATGTCCAGTCGATCGAGCGCCCGAAATTTAGTCCGTACTCCCAGCCCTAAAAATTGGCCTTGAAATTTTCGTTTATTTCAAGTAATCTTCTAGATTGATATTCTTTCTTTCTATTCTTTCTTTCTATTCTTTCTTTCTATTCGTTCTTTCTATTCTTTCTTTCTATTCTTTCTTTCTATTCTTTCTTTCTATTCTCTCTAGTTATTAAACAACTAGGTAATAATTTATTTAAATGATAGTTTCTGTATAGAAATCATTAAGTAAATGGTTTATTCAGTATGGATCCTCTTGCAAAAAAACCCACTTTTAGAGCTTTTTATGTCTAATGTCTATACTTTAAAAACATAATTTCTTGGTTTTAGAATTAACTAGGTACAGTGAAATATTCGACTTTTAATGAAACCTCTTTATCGAATCGCCTTGAATCCTGTGCAACAAGCCACGGTTCTTCCCATCGCCATCCATCTGATCTAAAAATCGGCTCATTTTATTGCGTTTCATTTCTCACCTCAATGAAAACGATTCAAAAGTTAATCGTTGAGTTCCATCATGATTCGAGAAAGTTGGACGATCGGTGGGTAATGTGTGAGAACACCATCCAATCACCGGATACCATCTCTACATTGGGATGGTTTATTGGCTATGGTTTAAATACAGGTTAACATATCAGTACAGTACTTTCATCTTATTATCTACGACTTAATTTGCATATCAAGCAATACCCGAATGCCCGGGGTTTTTACCTGATTCGAATATGTCGTAACGGTTTGTCGAATGGCCAAATGCGTTTGTGTGCTAAACACGTAGACATGCCCGCCTCGATCAATAGCAAAAACGACTTCGGGGGTTGAGGCTAGCTAAAACTCTTTCCAACTTCATGGTACTCTTTTACGTGAATACTTTTATGATATGTACAGGTTCACCGCCGACTCCATGCACAGGAAAATCCTCCCAATCATAGATCTCGTTCGCTTCTGAAACAGGCAATGGGTTTATATGCAAATCCTAGATTACTGTGGATATGCAAATTCTTACCAGGCTTCTCTTTAGAGTTTATTCTTTGTGGTGTACCCGCTTTTGTGACGGCCCATAAATACCCGTGATTCATAAAGCTGTAATTATCCATAACCCTCATTTCCATTTTCATCCAAATCATGTTAAACTTCACCGTGGTATTTTCCAATTTGCCTTGTGAATTACAGATAGATCTATCTTTATTACAGACAATAAGAAAAAAAGAAAACGATAATTCGAAAAGAGCGACCATCACAGGCTATACATTTTTCAGGGTTGGCTATGACTAAGGAATGTTGGTGGAATCATCAAAAAAACATTCGAACTCGAAATTTCAAAAATGAGAATAAAAAGGTGTGATATCACTAAACTATTTCTAGGATAAAAGTGTTGGCATAAATTTCTCATAGGAATAAATACACGATTTTGTCCATAAGACAAAAAAAAGATAAGAGAGATGAAACAAGATGATCAACAATTTGAAAATAGACAAACGCATATGTAGCAACCACAACCGGGCAGAAACGAAGAGTTTTGAGTAAAGTTGTTTTATTTTCCGCCCATAGACGCTTTGTTGGTCTAAAAAGTTTAAGTTATAACCAAAAACATCGTGATGCCTACCTGCACAATGCCGATAATCATCCCGAAAAGGCCAATGGCTGAGGCGAAAATTTCGATGATGAGAATTTTGACGAATAAAGATGGATTGGCGGCATCGGCTAACGCTGCTCCAGAACCGACGATTCCTAAAGTGAAAATGGTAAACTTTTCTCAAAATTTAGATATTAAACGGTTACCAGAATCAAAACGCTCAAAAAACTGACCGACGGCAAGTCCACACACCAAATTCGAGAATCCAACCGTTAGCCCACCACCGAAGATCATGTATCCAGCGGCAAGATTTTTGGCGATAATTTCTCGATCCGCAACCACGTCAAATTGTTCTCGACGGAACTCCTAAATGGCATAAACAATTTAATTTTATAAAAAGTTGGTTATGTTGATTTTAAAATCTACAATAAGAAACTGATGGCCCTCGTTTTGATTTGGAAATTCTTTAACTTTACAACAATTAAAAAAATGAGGATTGTATTGCACTCATAAAAAGTACCGATAGTTTTCCGACAAACACGAAGGCCATGATGATTCCGAAAATGGCGACAGCTTCACAGAAAATAATCGATACCAAATTCTTCGTTCTTATCCTAAATTACAAAAAATCAGGTAAAAGAGATTAAAAACCAACCGTGGGGCTTTAACTCCTCCTCCCAAAATTGATGATCCGGTTGTGAAAATACCCCTAAAAATGAAACAATTAAAAAATAATAAATAACACTCACCATCCAGCGCCAATAACTGATAATGACAACGAGGCGGCAACTCCCAATCCAGCCCACATGTGTGGTGATGTTTGTGTCAAGAACCAGGCAATGTCAAATCGGAATCCTTGGCCAGTCAACATGTAGAACAAGGCTAAAGTACACTTTAAAATTATAAAAAAAGACAATGCAACCAACCTGTTCCAATCAGAACAGCGACCGCAATGGTGGATACTACCCCAGTTGTGTAGAGGATCGCCCCCGCCATCTCTGAATAAAAAGGTTTAGTGTATGAAAAGCTAAAAGCAATTAAGGACAGCAAAGGAAGATCAAAAACAAAACTAGACCGAGGAGAAAGAAAGCAAAGAGACGCAATTTATTAAAATGTATTCTATGAGTTTCAGATATTCAATTCTTCGTTCGAATATTTTATTAGAGCATTTGTTTGAATTTGACCGAGTTTTGCCTCATTTTCTTCACCCTCAGGTTCAGATTTCAGAACCATGAATCAGCGAACAAAGATAATAAACGATTTTCAATCACGAAAGCTTCTGATCCTCGAACTGCATATAACCTAGCCAACGTGTAAAATAGCTTCTATAGTGATGAAAAACTTTGGAAAGTTAAAAGAGCCGATAAAACAAGGTAAAGCAATTTTTGATCTAACTTTAATTAAACGAGTAAAGAGTGTATTGGAGAACCGAGAGAAGAGGGCCGGTCTTTGCCCCTTGTCAATATTGGTCGTGCGCCCATATAAAAGCGCAAACAGGCGCCTCCCTGACGCATCTTTTTCACCCGGCCGCCCCCTTTTTTCTCCCAGTCACCCATCAGCTGTGATTAAATTGATTCTGCCAACGGAAAGATAAACTATTTTGGAAACTCTTTCGTAAACTTTGTAGCCGTATGTTGAGAATTTTTTAACCTTTTATTTATCTTTAACTTTCCAAACCCAGTTTCTTGCTTTACTTTTTAATTTATTTGCTTCGCTAAATATGTCATTTTCAGAGCGTTTCAATATCTATATATAGTATCAACTTACTCTGTATGACTTTTGATGCACAGATTGTTACCGGACGAGGTGAGCTTTTTGGTTTTTAATCACAGCTGATGCTGAGACTGCTTAATGGTCAGATTGGTTTTTTTAATGAGAAACTGACCTACTAGAATATAATTTTGAACACAGTGATAAATTTGAAGATCCTCATTCGTTTTCACCAAAAACTGTTTGTTTGTTTTTAGGAAGAACTTGAATCGGTTTCACTCATTTCTTCTCCTGTACGCATTCCCCCAACGGCAATCGCAAATCGGCGTGGCTTCAAAGTAAAATTTTCTTTTTATTACTAAAGTCAAATTTTAGATGGATCGAAGACAGCGGGAAACAAGCTTAGATGATGATGAGCCAGCCATGGTCCATGTAGACACAAATGGATGTAAAATTTATCCCAAAAATAAATGGTATATTTTTTTATAGCGGGAGCCGTTTCTTTTAATTCTAATGGCATCGACAAAGATCTTGAAGAGGAAGAATCTCCTTTGGACAACATTCCAGCAATTTTCAGGTGTTTTTGCGAACTTTAATAGTGCAATGAATAAGTTTAGCAAATATGGCGATTTTCACACAATAGATTGGCAACGAGATCTGGCCAGGGATCGTTTACGGTATATTTCATATAATGATTTTTGACAACAAGTCATTTAGGCACAAGTTGATAACAAACAAAAAGCGTGACTGGCCTTTAGGCCTACTTGGGGTAATTTAAATCTTATTTGGAGCTTACTGAACAGTGCTTTTTAGAGTGCTTGGGATTCCGGGGCGGGTTGGCTGTGCGTTTTGATGGTTGGAATGGCTGCTGGCGCCACTGCAGGAGTGATCGACATTGGTGCTCGATGGATGAGTGATTTGAAAAATGGTATTTGTGCTGATCGATTTTGGCTCGATAAAGAACATTGCTGTTGGTCTGACGATAAAACGCTATATAAGGTAAAAGCTAATAATTTTGACAAAAGAATTGCAAAAGTTTAGGATGACAGTTGTAGTGCTTGGACGACATGGCCAGAAGTTTTCAATATTTACGAAAAGTCCAACCTATATTACTTTCTCGATTTCTTTTTCTACGTCAGTTGGGCAATGAGCATGGCTGGACTTGCGGTTGTTCTAGTGAAAGTAAGTTTCAAAATATTTTTATGTAAAACATAAATCTAGGTGTTCGCTCCATATGCTTGTGGGTCAGGAATACCCGAAATCAAGTGTATACTATCGGGTTTTGTGATACGTGGTTATCTTGGTAAATGGACATTTATCATCAAGTCGGTGGGCCTGATGCTCTCCACAGCTTCGGGTAAGAGCAAACTTTTAATCTGCAATTTATCATGAATGTGTAGGGCTATCACTTGGAAAGGAGGGTCCAATGGTGCACCTAGCGTGTTGCATCGGCAATATCTTTTCGTATCTTTTCCCGAAATATGGAATGAACGAGGCGAAAAAACGAGAGATTCTATCAGCTAGCGCTGCCGCAGGCGTTTCGGTTGCATTTGGTGCTCCTATTGGTGGCGTTATGTTCAGGTTCGTCTTGATAAAGAAAGTATTAATTACAAACAATTTTTAGTTTGGAAGAAGCTTCCTATTATTTCCCATTGAAAACTATGTGGCGGTCATTTTTTTGTGCTTTGGTTGCAGGGATTATTTTGCGAATTGTGAATCCATTTGGGAGTGATCAGGTTGCGCTAATTTTTTTAAAACAATTAAGCAAAATAATATAGACCTCACTCTTTCATATTGACTACATGATGAAATGGACTTTCATTGAGCTCATTCCTTTCGCCCTTCTTGGCGTTTGGGGAGGTAATCATTCAATATTCTGGTAAAAGAAAGCTAATTTGATTTTAGGCATTCTCGGAAGCATCTTTATCTGGGCCAACATAAAATGGAGAAGTTATTGCAAGAATAGCGCCTTCCTCGGACGTACGTGCATAGCGCTTTTAAAAACTTTTTGATCTTTAGGTCACAATATTAACGAAGTTTTGGTGGTGACTGCCGTGACAGCTGTAATTTCTTACTTTAACCCTTATATGCGTAAAAACACGTCAGCATTAATAAAACAGGTTGTTTTAAAAAAGAAATACAATTTTTAAAAAGAATGGTTTTCTTAGCTTTTTGATCGATGCGGGCCCGACGATGTGACGAGCGATCTATGTGATTATCGAAATCGAACAATTACAACAAGCAAAGTTGACGACAACTATCATACCGGGATTTTTGGAGATGGTGTTGAGGTATCCAGCAAAATAAACACCATCACTTTTGCAATTTTAGACTGCTATTTGGCAGTTGATTTTTGCGCTAATTTGCAAGTTGATCTTCACCGTTTTCACCTTTGGCTTAAAGGTAATTTTCGTAAATATTAAACAACTTGCGTTTAGGTCCCTTGCGGATTATTTATTCCAAGTTTGGCCATGGGAGCCATCAGCGGTCGTTTGCTAGGCATCACTATGGAAGCCCTTACTACATCGCTTCAGGCTTCTGGTGGTCAGAGCGAATGGATGTCTTGTCAAATTGGGAAAGATTGTGTGAGTGTTTTAGTTTCAATTTTCTATATTCTCCAATTTTTAAAGCAAATGCATAAACGTGAAATTTAGGTATATCCTGGTTTATATGCGATGGTTGGTGCTGCTGCAGTTCTTGGCGGCGTTACAAGGTTTTTTTTGTCTTTTTTTAATTTGGAGACAAGATTTTTAGGATGACAGTATCTTTGGTGGTTATTATGTTTGAGTTGACGGGTAGTCTTGAATTTATTGTACCAACAATGGTAGCCGTCATGTTTGCAAAATGGGTTGGCGATGCAACACATAAACAGGTACCGTCTATCTTAACGTAGCAGTAAAAAAAAACACATCTTTTCTAGGGCGTTTACGAGGCGCATATCCAACTCAATGGTTATCCTTTCCTCAACAACAAAGAAGAATACCCTTATTCAACTGTTGCATCACAAGTAAGTTTTTCGACGAATTTCTTCATATTTATTTCTTAGGTTATGAGACCTCGTCGTGATGAACCAGAGCTCTGTGTGCTTACACAAGATGGAATGACTCTAGGCGAAATTGAAGCCCTTCTTCGGGATACAGACTTTAACGGATACCCAGTCGTTGTCAGTCGATCTTCGATGTACTTGACAGGATTTTGCACAAGGTACTAATTTAACTGAAACTAACCATCTATCGCCGTTTTATTTTAGACGCGATCTTCAACTAGCTCTCCATAGTGCGCGCAAAACTCAGCCATACATTGTGACAGCCTCCGTTGTTTTCTTTACTCCTACTGTAAGTGATTTGGCAGATCTCGCAATGTAACCGCTTTTGCAGGTTCCGGATGCAACTTCAGTTGGCGGTCCAGCTCCTTTACGATTGCGCAAGCTTGTGGATTTGGTATATTTCCAAAGTACATCACAAAATAGTTTCATATTTAGGCACCAATGACAATCACCGATCAAATGCCAATGGAGACAATTATTGACATGTTTAGGAAACTTGGACTTCGACACGTAAGCTCAAGTACTTTTGGTTAACATTACCTGCATTTAGGTGCTGGTCACACGAAGCGGGAAAGTGCTGGGGATTATAACGAAGAAAGATATATTGGAGTTCATGCGGCATCAGGAGAGTGGCTTCCCTGGATCTGTCGCAAATCCAAACTTCAACTAATTTTTCAACTTTTTTCCATGCTTTTGTGTTCCATCTTCCTTGTGAAAAGATCCTAAATTCTCTTTGGCCAAAAAAATTTTAGTCAGTTTCAAATTTGGTGCTTTATTTAATATTGTGGGATCATGATTAGAGCTTTTCAACATTTATCCTTTTAGAAAAGTCTTAATTTGTCTTTCTCCCCATCTAATCAAATACGTATCTCTTTCGGCTTCTAAGTTGTTGTGATTTTATTTGAAGTCCGAGATCCAATAGTTAGTAAGTTTTTTAATAAGTGCAACGTTGATCATGTGATTTTGCATTTTCGAGTCTAAATTTGCCATAATTGTAATTTATTTTTGTTAATAAAATGTTCTATAATTTATTTCTGGCGGTCATCAAAAACGTTCAAATCAGTGTTGTACAAATATTTTAAGAGAACGTTTAAAGGTTTCTCTATTTTTTTAGGGATGATACGTAGCGCTAGATTATTAGCTCAGAATGGGCATATAAACTCAACTGAATCGCAGGTGTGTTTGAGTTTTAGAAGCAGAAGAATTTCTTTTCTAGGTTTTAACATTGGGCCTAAAACGACAAGACAACAGTAAGCAACAGAGTCAAACCAAAAGAGGCTAGTATAATTTTTTTGAAGTAAGAACAAGATATTCAGGTAATTACAAAGGTCCCCGACGAATCCGATGGTCACCCGGAGCAATAGGCTTGTTGTCGATTCCAACGGCCGCTTTTGGATTAGGAATTTGGCAGACCTACCGACTACAATGGAAATTAGATCTCATCGAAAATATGAAGTAAAAGCTGGTAGTTTGGCTTATATACCCTTGCTTCAGGAAAAAACTCGAAGAGCCTGGCGTAGCATTTCCAATAGATGAACTGGAGAAATTGCTGGACATGGAATACAGGTTTGTTGATGAGATTGTACAATCATTTGGGTGGTCTAGACGAGTCATTATAACTGGTGAATTTCTCAATGATCGCGAATTTGTCATCACTCCGAGAGGCCGTTTTGACAAATTGTATAAACAGGTGAGTAGTTTTGTTCTAAAAACATAAAGCCCTAATTACAGAAAGATGCTGGTTCTTTACTATCGGATAGTCAAAGCAGCAGTCATGGAGCTCATGTAATCACCCCGTTTAAAATAAAAGGATCCAACTTGGTTATCCTCGTAAACAGGTTTAGTTATTCGTAAATTCTTTAATTTTTTTAAATTTAGAGGTTGGGTGCCCTCTTTGTACGCAAAGCACGCGACACGCTTGAAAACGGATGTTAAGGGAGAAACAACAATTGAAGCCATCGTAAGGTGAGGAATGTTTTTGTTTTTATTACTTTAGCAACATTTAGAAAGACTGAACCTCGCCCGCAATTTATGCAAAATAATCAACTCGACAAAGATGTATGGTATTACCGCAATCATGAAGAGATGGCTGAAAGGTAAACTTTTAAACAGCAACAGGTCTATGAAAGTTTAGATATGGAACAGCTCCAATTTTCGTCGACGCGGTGCTCGAATCTTCTGTTCCCAGAGGGCCGATTGGAGGACAAACGAATATTCGTCTTCGAAATGACCATTTACAATATCTTTGTACGTGGTTTACCCTTTGCGTCGTCACGAGTATGATGTGGATAGGCAGATTTTATAGGTGATAGTTGTTATGCAATCATTTTAGCTTGTTGATCTTGTTTTGTTTTTTAAGTTTGTATGAGAAAAATAAAATTTTTGATCATGTCATAATGAATCATAATAAGTTGAAATTGCTCATTATTTTACTACGCAATAAATAAATTTGGTTAGTATTTAACTTTTTCAGTTTTTGGGAGGTCGACAATGAGTCAGGATGAGCCTGTTGTTGCGCCTGTAAGTTGTAAATTGAGTCAAAAATATAATAATTTTTGTAGATCTACATGGGAATGCGAGAGGATATCGAGATGTTATTGCAACGGTTTGTGGAAAAGGGATCTCCAAGAATGACGGATTTTGCGAAGCTCTTTAAGGTATTTTTTCTTAGTATTCTAGAACAATCTTATTCAGGAAGTCCAATTCTCAAAAATCTTTGCTGGCAGAATTGCACCACCGGAGCTAGTCGAGGTATTTAAAATTTTTTTATTCTGGTTAAACTTATTGTAGTTTTCCGAGCGTCTACTTCAAATGGCCGCCTCCTACATGCATCCGTTTCGTCTTGCCGTTGCACCAACTTACTCAGGAACTGACCCATTTGATCATAACCACGAGAAGCAAATAGAAAGAACTGCTTATGATGCATCTCTAGTTAGTTAAACTTACTGACAATTAAATTAAGTGGTGCTTAGACTCGAACAATGTTGGACCGAATATTTGGTGTCTATTTGACGTACGCTCTCTTCTTCTTACAACCGTCGGATTATGTGGCTCAGGTAAAGGTCCTTGGAAATCAGAAATATGGGTAGCGTAGGTACGAGTGACCCCTGTTCAGCTACTTGAGATCACGCGTCTTCAAAAGGAGCTTATTGTAAGTACTTTGCTATTCTTTTCTAAGCACCTAATTAATATCTTTGAATAATCATTCCAGGAGGAAACTCATTATGACACCGTTGCTGCTTTGCTCAAATTACATGCACATAAGGCCTTTGTACAAATACCATTCACGAGTTCGGTGAATTGATTTCTCATTTCTTTTATAGAAAAATTTTTGTAGTACGATCCCGTGCAGCACAAACGCCTGCAAATTTCTGAAGAGGATTGCTCTGGACAATCAGCAGCATTGACCAGTGATCGTCAAATGAGCGCTATTGAGAGGATTACAAGTGATTCTCTTTTGAAAGTTTGATTTTTCTAGTAGTTAAGTGCAAGTACTCATTTAATTTAGCAACTTGAAGTATTGTCAAAGGCTAGCCGAGAAGTTGACTTTACAAAAGATATTGATGAACTACGAGGGTCGGTCATTTTTATATCAACAAAGAACTTAAACGTTTTTAGAATAGCCATACGGTCACAAATTGATATGATGACAAATGATGATACTATTGTCATTTCACCATCGAAACCATCGAGAATCTCTATAAGGGTTTGTTTTGTTATTACTTACTTCATCCATGTCAATCTTTTCAAAATCGACTTTTATTTTTGTTTTCAGGAGAAAGCATACACTGGGAACATCAAACATAGCAAGAATAGACGCTATGCAAATCCAGAGAACCGTAAGTGCTATGTTTTTTGCTTAATTTTTTTCTTTTTAGAACCAGGTGCGTTGACATTAGCTCGATTGGCCGATGAAATTGGTCGAGAGGAAGACAATAATGTGAGCTTTGTTTTCTTTATTAAGCTAGTAGTTGTTTTAGGGAGATGTCGAAGACGGACCTACAGTAATTAAGAAGACAAAGGAGTCGTCAAGTAAAAATGTAGTCATTTTCTTAAAGAACCGCAAGCTTTAGATACAGTAACGATTGATGCATTATTTGACGAAACTGGAGATAGTCAAAAGCAAGAGTGAGCTGAATTGATCTTTTTAAAACGGTTTGAATTTTTAGAATTGCAAAGTTTAAAACTGAACTGGAAGTGTTGGAAGCGACCCCCACAAAGAAAGGAAAAGCCAAGCTAAAGCAGCCTAAAATCCGCGATCCAGCATTTGAAGGTTGTGTTCTAAATTGGACTTGCTCTAATTTAAGCAGATTTTTAGTTCTTTCGTTTATTCAATTACCGGTTTAGGCCATATTCGCAAGGTACTCGCTCCAACGGCTCTTCAACGCTCAAATGATCGACTTCTCGAAAAGCTCAAGCGAACGATGAAAAAGAATGATGATGAAGAAGAAGAATGAAAAGGACCAACGATTTATTTAATGATTTCATCAATTTGTTAATTTATTTTTTTATTCGGGCTATATACATACTTTGCTATGTTATTTTTTTTCACAATTTGTTAGTTTATTAAATTTGGTTTTGCATTTTTTTAATCTCAGAAATAATCAAGTTTTAAATTATCTATTTTTCAGAAATTGCAGGAAACTTTGACCCCTTCTTTTATCAGTTTATCTTTGACATTTGACGAAAACACGTTTTGATGAAGTCTGAGGAGGGGATTTTTGCGTTGGCTCGGCTCCAGTCAGCAAAAACTGAAATTTCACCGTTTCTTGCGTGTTTTTGGGAGTAGCTGGGGATGGGTAATAGAAATTGATTAATAGAAATCTTAAGGGCATTTGCCAAAAATATACACAACCCATAACTGACCAGACACTCGTTGTACATAAACTATGAAATTCGAGAGAAAGAGAACTTTGGAAAAGCGTGGTGGTGGCGCGTGTAATCAAAGGTCATTACGAAAATGGGGATCTCTTTTTGAAAGACGAATGATAGCCAGCCTTGAGGGGGTGGAGAGTCTGCAGGAAGGGAACGGAATGAGTGGTGGGGTGATGTGACCCCTTCCCCTTCCCAGACTTGCCCCCATTGACTTCCACCCCCGATTTCGGACCTTGTACTGTCTCCCTTTTTTAATAACCCTTTCTCGGGCATTTTCTCTAAACCAGAGCTTTTTGAGAATTTTTGCGCAATCTTTATATTGTATCTCATAAAGAAGCAATTAAATTAGCATTTATGCTGTTCTAATGACGGCTTCCTACTATAATGCGTACTGTACCGTTTTTGTTTCAGGGTTTTCACAGACGTTCTATCTCGAATCCCAGTCTGTCCACCGTTCCCCGTTCTCTGATGTTGTAACAAATTTTTATGTATCTAGACGAAATCGTTCTCCTTTTCCGAAATGTTTTCGCCCCTAGATTTCATCAGAATGATCGTGGCTTTTTCCCATTCTCGGACGGCTTAAAATTCCCGATTCCTTTGATTGATCAGCCACGCCAAAACCCTCATAAGTCAACAATGTTTCCAGCCATTTTCAAATCCCAATCAAAAAGAAGTTCCTCAAGCCTGATATTTCGGGAGTATTTTGAGTTTTTCTTTGCCCCGTCTTGTCAAAACGAGACACGCAATGGTCACTGATAGCAGAATGAAAAAGCGGGAAATATTTATGGTACA